TTCTGCTTCTGAGTCTCGTTTCAGCTACTTTCTTGTCCCTGGCTGTGCACTCCACGGGGCCAGAGTTCAGTTTCTCAGCCCTGTTAAGTCAATTACCAACCATTCGTCCATTTTCCATATTGCAAAAGTTGGCTGACATCTGAACTCTGTGTTGACTTCATTCCAACGCTCTGTCTTGTGAGATTTATTTATGCTTTTTTATTTCTTTACTATCATTTTTTTGGTGAGGTTTGGGCAAACAGCAGAAATAAATGAGTGGTGTGCATTTTATCTGCTAAGTATAACCATATCCTCCATTTTTTTCAGTCTCCTTCGTAAGTTCTGTTTTTTATTATTTTAAGAAGCCTTCCATATCATATCTATCATTAAGATATTCACCTACAATTTCTCCTCATTGTTTTCAAGTTTTGTTTTTCATGTAACCTGGCTTCCTTCAGTGTTGGGTGGGAATTTTGAAACTGATTTTATTGTTTCCACACCATCAATTGCAACCTTGCATTAAGAGAATAGTCTCCCTTCCCTCGGATCTGTAATGCCGCTGCTATTATTTTAGGAGTTTCCACACGTTTGGGACAGCTCCGAGGCTTTCTCCTTTGTTCTATTGAACTATTCGTCTATTCCTGGGTCCATAACGCATATCTTAATTAGAGATGCTCTATCCCAGGGGTCCTCAAACTTTTTAAACAGGGGGCCAGTTCACTGCCCCTCAGACCGTTGGAGGGCCGGACTACAGTTTAAAAAAACACTATGAACAAATTCCTATGCACACTGCACATATCTTATTTTGAAGTAAAAAAACAAACGGGAACAAATACAATATTTGTATTTGCATGTGGCCCGTGGGCCGTAGTTTGAGGACCCCTGCTCTAGAGTATCGCAGAACTTATTTTTAGACTTTTACTTTTCCAAATGAATTTTAAGATCACTTTGTTAAGTTCTACAAAATATGACATTTAGAGATTTTAGTTGGAGTAATAAAAGCATAGGTTAATTTGAGGAGAATTCACATCTTCATAATTTTGAGGTTTGCCATTCAGAAAAGTGACATATTTTACCATTTACACAGGCCTTTTACATCCTTAACTCCAATTTTGTAATTTTCTTGCTCATATTTTGTTATGCTTATTCCAAGATAATCACACTTTTGTTATCAATACGAACAGTATATTTTTCCATTATATTTTCAAATTAGAGATGGCTGTTTATAGGATCTTTGGACTTTTCTATACTGAACTTGATCCCAAAAATCTTGCTATGAACTCTTTTATTAGTTCTAATATATTTGTTGATTCTCTTGAGTTTTCTACACACATAATCACATCATAGCAAATAAAGATTTTTTTTCTTCTAATTCCAGTAGCTCTTGTTCTTTTTATTTGGCTAGAACTTGCAGCTCTTTTTTTCACTTGTAGAAGAGACAGTCATACTCATCTTTTCATTTATTATAATGGGAATATTTTTAACATTTCATCATTAAGCATGATTTTTGCTATAGGTTTCTGGTAAATGTCTCTCATTATGAGTATAAAGATTTTGTTGCTAGTTTTTTAAGAGCTCCTTTTTTTCTATAAATGATTCAGAAGTTTACCAAGTGTTATTCTTTACCTATCAAGATAATCTCTCTTCTTTTTTATATTTATTTTTTACTTTTAAACCACTAATATTGTATAATGCATCAATAGATTTCTATATTTTAATCATTTCTGCATTATCTTTTTACACTATTGGATTCAATATGCTAATTTTTTCATCTAGGTTCATAAGTACACTTAGTATAATTCTTTCTGTGTGTGTGTGTGTCTCTCTCTCTTTGTACTGTCTTTGTTGTTCATTCTACTGGTCTGATTTTATTGTTTTATAAATGTGAGTATCTGGAAATACTTTATTTGAATAAAAGAAGGTGTGTGTGTGTGGAGGGCAGGGCGTGGGGGTGTTCTGCTGCCTTTTAAAATGTTCAAAATATCTGTTCTGTTCAGCAAAGTAGATATTTTAAGCAAGAAGAATGTATGTTTTCAATGGAACTACATGAAGTGATTTCAATTTAAATGAAAAAGTATGGCCTAACTTTACTTTTCCCAAATTGACGCACAAGCAAAATATAATTGCTCACTACTGATCTACATGATTACAAATAGTCAGCTGGAACTGAAAAAATATGAGTCATCCAGATGTTTCCAAATGTCTCATTAGATTTGTTATGGTTCATTAGGCAGAGATAGCCTATGCCAGACAAGCTGTTCTTTATCTGAGATGATCCAAGTGGGAAATATATTCCACAGAAACTTCCTATATAAATCCTGTGTATTTTTAGTGTTGTTTACAAATGACCTCTGGACAAAGTATGTACTATGAGAGTTAAGTTTCCCATGGCAGAAATTGGCAACCTTTACCTTTTTCTTTCTTTTTAGTCCCTTTCCTGTCTTTTTTATTCTTACTTAATTTAAAAAAAACGAAGACAGTAAAAAAAAATAATGTTTATGGTGTGTATTAATTTGCTAAGTTATTCTTCCAACTATATAGTTCCTCCACAATAAGTCTGTAGTCTGTTTTCAAATACACAAACTAGGCTGAATGGCTGCTCATCCACTATACCCTGCATATGAGGTATTTAGAATTTATCTAGGGAAACATACTTCTCTTTTCTATACACATGAACCCAAAAATATTTAGCCGTTTATCTTCCAAAAACCATATAAAATGCATGTCCTTCCCATGTTTCCTCCTGATAATATTTTCCCCATTTGTAGTGCAGCTTTTCTTTCCTCTGGGAAGCTGGTACTTGTTTTATTCATAGATTGCAAATTACGCCCTGATGCCGTACAACCAAAAGACATTACTCATACACGCTGGGAGAATGCTGCCTAGGATACAATCAGCAGTGGCCATGTAAAACGGCACGTTAAAACAGGCCTCGCTGAGTTATGGGCCATCCTGCCGGGAAACATGGGCCCCAAACATCTCTGGACCCAGCTCATATCTTCACCCAGACGTCACGGACTGAGTTGCTTTCAGAGTTCATTGATGTCTGCCCTACACTGTCTTCAGGCCCAGCAGTTTAGCAGACTAGAAAGTATCTATTCTACCTTAGCAATCTGTCCAGATATGGAACATCCCCTGCAGCAACTCTGTTCTCCAAGTTTATTTCCAAATCAGTCATTTGGGTTCAGAAGGCATTTTCCCATAGGAACCATGTTACAAACGAGGGTGCTGCACAAATGCCTGGTTGAGCCACAGTGTACTTGAGACGTGGCCTTGACTGCACCATTCCCACCAGCCATTATTTATTCTGCTTCTCTGGGAAAGTGCATTCTGAGTTCCAACTTGGGATGCCTGTCGCTCACCTCTCCCTGCGCCTGGCAGCCTTCACTATAGCTTTTTTAGGCTGTGCTGCGGTAGCAGCTGGAGAGAGGGGACAGAGTAGCCTTCCCAAGAGTTGTGGGCCATACTGCCGGAGACACTCAGCACAAGGTGGGTCTCGGATGGATACAGATGCTTCTGGGTAACTTACTCTTGCTGGAGGGCTGACGAAGGACACCGTCCATTTGGACCAGTCAGTTCTCCTTCTTCCGAATGAGGCACAGACGTCAAGAGACTTTTTCCCAAGTAGAGATCATGTCCAAGCCGGATCTTCACAAATAGGGAAAGCCCTACACAGTAAAACCTCAGACTTTTTTTTAAGACCGAGCTTCTGGACTTGCAAGTAGCCAAGGAAAATATGTTAACTCTTCTTTGTCAGTGATGAAAATAGTCTCCAAACACATGGCAATAAAAAGGCATACATCTAGCACCTGGCCCCAGACCTGACAAATAGTAGGTGCTCATGATTTTTTGTCATTGTTGAATCAAGCTCTAAATGAGTGAATTTGATATTTAAAAGCACAAGACCGCAGATTGAACGCACACGTGTGCCAGCCTACTTGATTCTAAGTCAGCATCTCCTAATTCTGGCCCTCCCATAGCACACAGTCTACCAATGAAGAGTTGGTCGGAGTACTTTCAAGAAGTCACTAGAACAGTGGTTCTCAACCTTGGCTGCACATGAGAATCACCTGGGAATCTTTTTAAAATCCTGATTTCTGGGCCTCATCCTCCGGAAATTCTGTTTCTTTGTTATGGGGTGGGACCACAACATTAGTAACAAAGAAACAGAATTTCTGGAGGATGAGGCCCAGAAATCAGGATTTTAAAAAGATTCCCAGGTGATTCTCATGTGCACCCAAGGTTGAGAACCACTGCACTAGAACATTGGTGTCACCTCTGTAGGCATATGCATTCGCCTACACCAGCCCCAGAGTAGGTGCTGGGTTTCCATGCCCTCTCTTTGTGCATAGTTTCTTGCAATAGCTCCCCATGGACAAATCTGAGGAAACAAAGGGGCAAGGGAGAGGGAGGGGATGTGGGAAACCAATGAGGATAGCTAAGCCGGTAGGACCCTACCTTGATGAGTTTCTGGTGCCACACTTATTCTGGCAAACATTACCTGCTGTAAAAGACCCCAGCTTTTTTTTGGTCCGTTGTTTTTATAACAAGTGTAGACACATTTTAGGGGGCTGTGCCTCTCTCGGGTTAGAATTTAGCCTGTACACCAGTCCTGGGTCCCAGTCATTTCAGCCTTTAAAATTACATAATGACTGTATTTCATTTCGCATTTACAGCCACTTTTACAAGAAATACACTATTAAGGCTCCCTCAATGAAAACCCCTTCCCCACCCCACCCCCACCCCCACCCAACTTATGGACTGTGAACTTTTCGTTCCATAGACGGTGCCTTCTTTTTTGAAAGTTCCATTGGTGTTCCACAGGACAGCCTCCCGCTCCAAGATTAACATTTCTTCTGATTGTTCCTGACAATGGATTCACTTCCAGAGGCCCCGCGAAGGATAACCAAAAAAGGGCATGGAGCAGGCTGGTTTTGGCAGCCTGCGCGCAGTTTCTGAGCCTTTTAGGTCTTGGTTTTTCTGATGAGTGATTTCCTGAGCATGCCTAGGGAATGACAGGCATCTCCACGGGCAGGCTGCAGCCACCTCGGCCGCGGTGTCGTCACTGGCTGCCTATTAGAAAACCCTACAGGACAATGCATACCGCCGGCTGCCGACTGTAAACACAGGGGATGTGTGTTCCCGGAGCGCGGACTTCGGGGCGGGGCCGGGGAAGGGCGGGCCGCAGTTTTATTGAATAGAGCGAGCAGTGTGTGCCGCGCCGCCGGCCCGCCTGCCCTCGCGCTGTGCTCCCGCGGAAAGAAGTCGGTCCTTCCTCTCCCGCTCGGTCCCCGGGAGGAAGCTGCCGCCCAGGAGGTAAGGCACAGAGGACTTGCTTTTCGTCTCTTCCCCGGACGGCTGGGGACGTTCTCCCTCCGGCTTCCATTCACCATTCCTGGCCCAGGTAGCCGGGGGCGCGGGGCTGGGAAAGCCCATAAGCCACGCAAATGCTCAGAGCCGGACCCTGCCTCGCTGCCCTGCGGATGTTCCCGGAAGACAGACAAGGATGGGGTTTCCAGTTCTGTTCTTCGGGTTGGGACGCGAGGGGCGATCCGCAGAGGCGCCTGTGCAGGGACCAGCGGTAACTTTGAGGAGAGGAGCCTTTTGTTTAGGAGGGCGAGGGGGGTTGTACCTGGTCGCCTACTGACACGGGCGCGCGGTGCTCTCTGCTCACACCAGCGGTCTCTGCTGCATCCTCTGTTATCAGAGATTTCAGGAGGTTTTGCTTTTAACCACAACTCTTTAGGTGGCTGAGAAGCCAAGAAAGCGATGCTTTTTCACCAAAGGCATTTGCATTTTATTCTGCTACCCGTCCTGGAGACTAGACTTCTAGAGCTGCCAATTGAAGGAGAATTCTCGTGGTTTTAGTCCTGTCCTTCAGATACTGGGGCTCTAACGACGTGAAATTCAGGTGTTCCACAATCAAGACAATACCAGACTCTATTATTGTGAATTCTAATACAAACAACCACATTCCCATGCTGCTCTGAGCTCTATAACATAACCTTAAATTCTTAAGTATTATCATTCATTTCTTGAGAAAGACCCAATTACTGAACCGGAAGTATAAAGGTAAGCATTACTCTCGTCATTACAGCTGGCATTGAAGGAGAATTTGCTAAGACAGAGATGCCTACCGCGGTCTGTTTCCTATAAAACCTAATAATGCGAGAATGCAGGCGCTGGTGGGTGTGTTTTTAAGAACTCGCTTTCAACATCCCACCAAACTATTTCTTGAGAAATTTTACTTTCTGTTGGAAAGTGTGCCCGAGTGTGACTGGATTGTTTGAGAAGCTGCCGGTAGAAAGGGAGGACACAGACTTTCATTTCAGGAGAGTCAGACATATTTGGGCATCTCCAGCAGTAGTACAAGGCAGCTGGTTGGTAGTAGCCTGAGACTCCTTTTAGAAAGAGCTGATTGTGAGGGGTGGAGGGGATTTTACGGCCGTGGCAATACATGGTCAAAAAAACCGGAGGAGAAGAAAGTGCTTGGTATTCTTCTGTTAACAGGGCTCTGCAGATGGACTTGTAAACCGAAATAGTGAAGTCTTTCTCCTGTGCTTGGCAAAACCAGGCACGCAGGACTGGAACTTAAGTGAAGACTAGTGGCAAAAAGGGTGAACCTGATCATTTTTAAAGAAAACCTTGGACATTCAAGGTTTCCAGCTCCAAACGACTGGCCCCATTTGAGTTTATTCCATGGAGCGAGGTGGTTTTTGTGTTGAGATTCGTGCAATCGTCTCTTCTCTGTGTATTGAGAAGTTGGGGGGTAGTTTTCTTGAGAATGCCTCTCTCTCCTCCCAGAAGTGATATATGATAACAGAATTCCTGCGAGTTTCTTTTCCTGGAAGGGTTCTGAGTAAGTGTGAGAGAAAGGCTGCAGGCGAGAGCTATAGTTTGATTATCATCCTTCCCTCGAAGAGATCAAGTTCCAAACTATTTCCACAGTGTTTTTCATGTCAGTCAAAATATGGAGAGCAATTTCTTTTTCAACTGTTCTCAAAACCATGTAGGGAATGCAGTTTGGAAGGGAATCTATAATCTTGGTATCTGAGGATAGATTCCACTTCGAGACCAACATCTCCAAGTCCCCGATAGTTCAGAATTTCCTACCACCACTCTCTCCTCTTGTGTGCTCCCCACCTCCCCAAAAAACATTATTTTAAACAATAATGCTTTAAGTGTTCTACTGTATATAGTGATGGAGCAAAGGGATTTGATATTTTACTTGATGTTGAACTTTAGGCAGCTCTTTGCATGACTTTCTCCCTGTTAAATAGTAGCTAGAACGCATCTCCCCAAGCAGGGAGGTAAACAGGACTCAGTAGAACCACAGTGCAAGGATTTTAATAAAATTAAAAATCATTTAATAAAGAGAAATACATTGGCGTACACACCAGGAATATACAATGGATTAAACCATAGGTAACACACTGGATTCTTTCCATTGTTCAAAGCAAATAGAAACGTGCGACTTAAATAATTCAGATAAAAAGATTGCTTTAAACAGATACAATTCTTTCATTAAAGCGGAGAACCAGGTTTGGATTGCAGCTTAAATGATTTAAATGAGATACATATAAGCATTCTCCCACAGTGAGGCTATTAATAAATTCTAGTTGGCTCCTATGACTGGCCTGGGGATCTTTTACTCTGGGGCAATAGGTTGGTCCTTTGTCCAGCCATGGAAAGTTCCAGAATCCAGCCTGGGTATTCTCTGTTCTGTTAAGTAAAAGGCATCTCAGTAAGTCTTTTCTTAGAAACACATATAGTTGTCTCCATTTGTCATTTTCACAGTAGCACGTTCACTAGTCGGTCATTCTTCAGCAAGACAAAAACTGACTTATAGATCAACTTATGAAAAGGGATTAGCTCGGTCCCCATCTGCCTGCAATCGATCCCATGTCTCAGAAAGGTGGTGGGGTGAGGCCACGGGGGGGGGGGACAGGGGAAAACGCTGACCAAGTGGTATGCAGATAACATGGCAGGACTAAGGAGGAGGTTAGAAAGATGCTGCCAAAGAATTTTCAGATTTTAAAACAGAGTTTTCTGGGTAAATTCTCTCGGAGCCTGGAAATAGAATCATTAGCTCCTCACTGAAAGTCCCTCATTTGTCAGGCTAATCCAGTGGTTCTCAATCTTCTGGCCCTTTAAATACAGTTCCTCATGTTGTGACCCAACCATAAAATTATTTTTGTTGCTACTTCATAACTGTAATGTTGCTACTGTTATGAATCATAATGTAAATATCTAATATGCAGGATGGTCTTAGGCGACCCCTGTGAAAGGGTCGTTCGACAGCCAAAGGGGTCGCGACCCACAGGTTGAGAACCGCTGGGCTAATCCAAGTTTGTTATTGGAGAGAAGCCCACAGGTTCTGAGTAATTGGGTAATTTAAAGAGATGCTTGTAGTTCAGGCTCAACTCATGAGCACCGCTGTGAAAGCTTCCTCTCCACTCTGGTTCTCCTCCTTAAATAGCCTGGCCTTCGAGGAGGAAGCCATCCACTCTTCGACCTCATCTATCTCGTGGGCATTGTTATGCTTCTCCTACCTCCCACGGTGGCTAAGGTGTCCGATGAGATGAGACCCCATCTTCTGCATAGGCTATTTCCTCCGAACTGTCAGCAATGTGAGTCTTCTGAACATTATGCTCATCTTGGCTAGTCTCATCCCTACTTCTTACCTAGTATCCCTAATTATCTGCTCCTTCCTCATATCTGAGGATCCTTGCCTGGTACTTTATGGGTCCTAGCTCTTTCTAGAACTAGGGAATGCTGGTCCACCCCCAATGTTGTCTTGATTTTGGCTTTGATACTCAAAGACAAAAAGACACAAGTATCAGGAGGTAGAACAAGATGGGTCATCCGTGGTGCAAGGCCATATCCAGGAATCAGGAAATCTGAAGATTCAGTTGAGTTGAAGACCGATGACAAGGTGCTGACAACGGAAAGGCCTTAGTAAATGAGGCGGCTTCTCTGCCTCCAGCCAAAAGCATGGAACTAATCCCAGCATGTCAAGCCAGGGCCTTGCAGGGAGGGAGAGCTAATCAGGAGCACCTGGCTGTGGTTCCTGCTGCTATGAGACCAGGCTGCTCGGTGGATCTGGCCTCTCACCTCTTTTGCTTCAGTCTTTAGTCTCCCCAGCTGGCTCTCCTGTAACTGACTACCAGTGGCATCCTTAACTTCCCAACCCCCGTCCTCCACCTCTACCACCTTCCCTAGCTTCTCCATCCTCAGGTCAAGAGGGGGCTTTCCTGAACCAACACTGACAATTTGCAATGGTCCAGCTCTAGGATGAGGCTCAGAGAACAGCACAGGGTCAAGCCCAGATGGGTTCGAGATAGGGGAAAACCTCTTCTCTCTTTAAGACAGAAGGAGAAAAGTTAGAACAGCCAGAGTTGATGTTAGAGCAGTGATGGAGAACCTATGACAAGCGTGTCAGAGGTGACACGCGAACTCATTTTTTTTGGTTGATTTTTCTTTGTTAAATGGCATTTAAATATATAAAATAAATATCAAAAATATAAGTCTTTGTTTTACTATGGTTGCAAATATCAAAAAATTTCTATATGTGACACGGCACCAGAGTTAAATTAGGGTTTTTCAAAATGCTGACACGCCGAGCTCAAAAGGTTCACCATCACTGTGTTAGAGCAATTTTTGTGGAAAAGAGCCATTCCTCTTCTCACCCCCAAACTCACAATTGGCAGGAGGAGGGTGCGTGTTGTAAGAGGAGGGCATGGCCAGGAAGGAGAGGTGATGAGGTTGGCCCTGCCAGGTGTTCTTTCCAGTTGTTGTTGTTGTTATGAATATCTTTGGGAATCTGTAAAATCCCTAAATCCCAAAGGTCCTTTGTGAACCCACTCTTTGTAACTGACCAGGGAGAAACCCATGAGCTGGGGAAGGTTTGGATGGGAGCAATAGAAACTAGGCTTGTAATTCCATTGGAGTCAAGGGGTGGATGGATCAGAACATGAGTGGAGGTGTTCTTCCTTGTCTCCCTGGTTCTTTGGAAGGAAGGAAGGAGGGATGGCAGGAATACACAGATGTAAAGAAGGAGGTGACCTCAAATGGCCTCCATTTCAAAGAAAAGGAGATCATTTCTAAAGATTTAGGCCAGCGGTTCCCAACCTGTGGGTCGCGACCCCTTTGGCGGTCGAACGACCCTTTCACAGGGGCCGCCTAAGACCATCCTGCATATCTGATATTTACATTACGATTCATAACAGTAGCAACGTTACAGTTATGAAGTAGCAACGAAAATAATTTTATGGTTGGGTCACAACATGAGGAACTGTATTTAAAGGGCCAGAAGG